TACTACTACTACTACTATTGCTACTTCTACTTCTATTTCTACTACTATTGCTACTACCACCAGCACCACTGCCACTGCCACTACCATTGCCACTATCACCCAGGCCTCAGGGACAGGGTCCTGCTTCCTGGCTGCCGCGGCAAGGGGCTTCGCGAACTCCTCACAGCTGATGGTTTTGCAGAAGCAGCATAGGATCAGGTTGTTTGGATTTTAACGCCAAGTGCAGTTCTGTAGCATGCAGCCCTCGAACTGCGCCTTGGGTATCTGGGAGTGGGGCCCATGGGCCTATGGCTGGAGGGTTTCGCTGGTTTGCCAGCTGAGATAATCCCAAGCATGTGTAAGTATGATCTAGCTTGGGAATACCGTCCCCGTCTCGAGACTGTTCGATGTTGCCCCACCCAGTCATGGGGTCTTACGAGACGCAGAAACAAGAGCTAAGAACTGTGATGCCAGTCTACAAGTCAGGCATTCAAGCAAACGCTCGGCTCAGGTGCATGGCTGCATTCGAAGTTCAACTGCCCCGTAACAACCTGAAGCCTGAAACCGACACAGGTCCTTGGTGAATTCGCTTTTGGAGTTCCTAGGTGGCTGCAGGCACGGAAGATCCCAGCAACAAAAAAAGTAGTGCTGGCAGCGTCTAGTATGCTGGGGAAACAGCCTGCAATGCTAGCAACACAGCAAGAACAATGGCCATCAACCGCAAGCAGCAACAGCAACCTGTCGTCATTAGCGCGTGTCATGTAAGACGGGGTGCAGCAGCAGCTGCACTAGAAGTACTACTGCAAGTTGTTGTTCCATGCCACGCATCAACTAAAAATCACCAACTGCAACCCTTGCCCTGGGCTGTCCGACTCTACCGCTGGATCTCAACATGTCGCCTCCAAGCTCCAGCATGCCATCATAATTTATTCAATGTACCATAGCTAGCACAACATGTGTTGTGTTGTTACCAATTAGTAGGTAGTTGTCATTATTATAAAGTATTACTGTTCTTATTATATAGATTAGCAGTGTGCTGCCCAATGACGCCAGATACCCTGGCAGGATGAACTCGAAGCAGGAGTGGAGGTCGGCCAGGGAGTTCTCCACCTCGGACCGCGGGAAGGGAGCCGAAGCGGCATGCCACGTTAACAATAAAAGGGATACAGCAACGATTAGATAAGGTATTGTCATAAATATGTCCAAGAAATGGAAACCCAAGAGCCTCAATCATTAAGAGTAAAGCATAGGGAATCCCAGCACTAATTGTCCTTAGTCTGGTTTCCAACACTTTCTGGGCTTTACTGTAAGAGTGATAATAATAATAATACCGAAATTCTTAGAACAGTAAGAACAGAAACAAATATCGCAAGAATAACGATAGCGGTGAAAGTAATAGTACGAGTAATAAGTAATAAAGCAGTAGATACAGGAGTAATAATCTAAAACAGTAATACTAGCAATATAGTAATGCTTGTGATGGCGACAACAATACTGTAGGAATAGTAGCAGCAGGAATAACAACAGTGGTAATGCTAGCTTCCGAAGCCTCTAACTACCTCTAAATCTCTAACCTACTGAAGAGACGCCTCAAAACTGCAGGCCCTAATCCTAAAACGATGCGTTTCGGATCTCGTGATAAACCTCTCTTAAGGGTCAGAACAACAGTATTAGTATTGAGAGCGCTTCTGGTCAATTTGCCCCTATTTGAGACACCTTTCTGCAGTTTAGAGCGAAAGATTCCGTCGGAACTTTTTGATTGCGCCAGCTGTCCGCAGTGGATCATCGGCACATCACAGCGGGCAAATTGCTGTCCAACGCTAGCACCACCCCAAAACCTCCACTTCGAGTTCCTGCAGGACAATGGGCCCAATCCAATTGCTCAAGGAATTCACAAGCTCCCCAGAATCAACCCGACACCTTGAAACCTGCAAAGAATTCGGCGAGCTGCCGGGGTCCCGCTCAAAGCGACGCGGACCTTAGTTTGCTCAAGGGCCTCCCTTCGGGGCGTCGAGTCTCACCCGTTAGGAAGGTTTAGCGCCTGCTGTAGGGGTTCAGCCTAAGGGCTCAGGGCTCACACACCCCCAGATTCTGCATAGGACTTCAGTTTTCGGCGGATCAGATCTAGCGGATGCAGGGCTCTCGGCTTCGAACATTTGAGTATAGGGCTCTCTTCTGGGATTCTTACGCTGAGGCGTCTCGTAAAGCACGACTTGTTGCTAGCTGACCCCTATTTCCGCTTCTCCTGATACCACTGCCTTTACGTGTTCTGCTGTTACTGCCGCTGCCACTACTTATGCTGCTGACTGTCCTACTTTAAAGACATACCATGACACACCTGCACGACTGCTATCGCTAGGGCAGCCGAATGCTCATCTTGAATCCAAACCCCACACGCCGAGCCCCAGGCCGTCCCGCAGCAGTCCGCCATCTCCTTGACTAGCTTGGCCACCTTCAACGGGAAAGGTCCCTTTTGCAGCGGACTTGCCTCGCCCCCCGAACCTACCTCTGCCAAGAACGTGTGCCCCTGTCCCAGCCATCTGGAAAAAAACTGGGCTGGCGCTGCATCGCTAGAGTGGTGGTGGCAGCAGCAGCAGCAGCAGCAGGAGTAGTAGTAGCAGTAGTAGCAGTAGTAGCAGCAGCAGCTGCTGCTGCTGCTGCTAGAGAGTAGCAGTCGTCGTCGTAATAGCAGTACAGTAGTAGCAGTAGTAGTGGCAGTAGCAGTAGTAGTAGTAGTAGTAGTAGTAGTAGTAGTAGGAGCAGCAGCAGTAGTAGTAGTAGTAGTAGTAGTACTAGAACTAGTACTGGTACTGGTACTGGTACTGGTACTGGTAGTAGTACTCGCACCTTTACTGGTAGCAGCAGCAGTAGCAGCAGCAGTAGTAGTGTAGAAATAGCAGCAGTCGTCGTCGATAGTAGTTCATGCCTCCCGCATGCTAGCACTAGCAATTGTACCTGTACTAGTAACTATTGCGGAGATGTTGTCTCTGGCTCATCTTTCACAGCGTCACCACCGCTGGGCCTGGGTTCCATGGTTCTTGATGTTCTGCGCCTCGTCCAAGATGATGCCCGCAAACTGCTGCTCCTTCAAGTCACTTGTCGAAACCCTGAACACGTAGACCCGCAGACCATGTAGCTGGAATCCGGTTGAGGCCGCGTTATTCGGGTGACCGGCCGAAAGCCCCATGCCAAAATCTATTACCCGAGAGGCATGTTGCCCTCATGCTCCCCTTCACGCAGACGAACTATGAGAGACTGATTGAAAGAGCTGGAAACTCTGAAGCATGCTCGCCTTCATCAGATTTTTCGCTGAGGTCCGGAAAGTGCCATACGAAGTGAGCCTTGCTGGCAGGACACAGCTCAGGATGGGCATGCGAAGACTCGCCATGAAAGGATGCATACTCTTAAGCGGTGCTGGGGCTTCTGCTTGAAGGGTAGCAGCTCTACTCACAACTTCGTCCGTAAAGCCCTGTGGAAATTTCAGGTATGCTGTGTATGGCCCGTCCCGCAGCCTGCATTTCCATTTCGACTACAAGGGTACCCAGCTTGTAGGCTTAGGAATTATGCCCCGAGGCCAAACACTCCGCTGGATCGACCTTGGAAAGAAGATCCGCTGTCCAGCTTCTTCTAAAGACAGTGGACCTTTAGAGGTGACCCAGAACTTGTTCCAAGTGAGGCGGTCGAAACATCTCGACCTGCCAAAACCTTTTTGCAACTGGCTTGCAACGTCACGCCAGGACAGCTGTCTCGCTCCACGCTGCACTCGCGACAGCATGAATTCGGAGGAAGCCGAGAACTCTTGCAAGGTACATGATTCCCAAAGCGAGCCGGGCTGCATTATGTGTGCGCTCTGCTCTTCAGGGAGCGCTCTCGCCCGCTTCCCTTTGCCGGCTGCCTGTTGCAGGGCCCTAAAATAAATACAGCGTTCGGCCGCAGCTTTGGGGGGAGGGGGGAGTCATACATAAGCTTTGCCGTACCGCGAGCATGCAGGTTGAACAGGTTTGGGGTGTTTTCGGCTTCTAAGTCCTCCGGGTCTTCTGAAGCTTGGGAGAAGGGGGCGGGCAAAGCGCTTGAAATAGTATATTGCATGGTGGAGACGTCTAACTTACCACTGTGAGGGATCTGTTCTGTCTTCGGCACAAGCAAACCGTCACTAATCCAACGCATAAAGTGACACAACAGTGTCGCGGCATGTCGAAACTCTATGACAGCCTTCGGAGCTGCGGCGGCCCTGGCGGCACCGGCAGCGGCGCCAGCGGCACCAATAGCACCCTTTGCGATGTCTGTGGGATTCGACTGGTCATTTGGGCACTTTCAGTGTTAAGTAACGTTTTATAGTCGTCATTTTCAGCCTGCGGTACGATGGCGCTGGGCGATCTAGGGTCCTTCAGCAACCTCTCTTATAGCCCTTCTCTGCCACAGAAGGTTTCACCTTTCCACTCGACAGCCGGACAGCTTCAGTCACCCCGACAGAGACGGCGGCTGATGCGGCGACTGAAGTTGCAAGGGATATGCGCTTCCGCTCCTTGTCGTCGATGGGATTATTCGAAAACCTTTGCCTCTCGGAGTTGGCAGTGTGCTGTGTCCTTCTAGGGACACTTCAGATAGCGCAGAAGACCGCAACTCGAAGTAGTGCTTAAGTGTTCGTGGCCAGCGCTATGCTACGGCAGCAACCAGATGCTCAGACGTGGCCTTCTTCGATGCAAATTTTATGCTCTCTGCTTGAGAGAGCCCTTGATATATGAATGCCCCTACAGGAATCAACAAAGGCCGACTCTGCCAGAGCTCCGTCGTAATCCTCCTAAGCACCAGTGGTCTCCGCATCCTGAAAAACAATCTAAAATAAGCTAAACGCCTATCAGAGATGCAGGACTCACGGTTTTTCGAGGCTTGCGGGGGAGCTGGGCTGCAGCACAGGTGCCGGCGGCTTTGGGGCACCGCAGTTGTTGCAGGCGTCCTTGGCGAAATAAGTGGAGCTTCTACGTGCTACATGCACGAGACGACTACCAAGCACGACTGCCAGGAGGCAGTGTTGCATTATTCGTTGCGAGTCACGTGTGAAATTGCAGCTCATTTGCATATTATTCTCACAGGTTGGACTGTAAGTGCCAATGCTACCCCGTCTACCGCTAAAAGTACACCGGCCGGCATCACCACTGCTGCTGATGGTGCTACTCCTCCGACCACGTAGGCTCTGCTCCACTGGTCCACCTCCTGCTCTGCTCGGTGCGCCTGCTGCTTGCTGCTGCTGCCTCTTCCTCAGGCTGTTGCCGCTTCTGTTGGTACTACTCCTTCGACTGCTGCAACTACATCCGCCACTGCCACCGCGACCGGGGACCAGGATGACGACTATACTCACAGTCCTCATGTTGAAAAAGCTTCTACTACATGTAGTTGTCACAACGATTGCCATGATTGCTGGCCGCACAGGGCATGCTAAATCTACTGGTACAGTCGCCGTTCGCTGGTGTTGACGAAAGGCATGGTCACGATGATTTCCTTGGTGATAGTGCACGTGGTGCTTTGGATGGCGATGGGGAGTGAATGTCGCAGATTCTTGACAGACCCCGTGACCTTAGTCGGTCCTGCCATGTCTGGCCGGATTAGGGTTTAGAGCTTAGGGCTCAGGGACTCCTTTTAGGTCGCATCTGCTCCGAGAGGCTCGCAAGGTATTGTTCAGCTCCTCGCAGCGCGGGCAGATCCAGTTGGCCGCCTGCTGGGACTGACAACCCCGACAGGTGACAACTTGGAAGTGAGGGCCCCGGTCAAAAACGACACATCCATTCAAAACGACAGGATGTTGGACTGGCCCGTTGCAAGAATCAGAGGTGCCTGCTCGTCCTCGAGCCCCGAACCCTGTAGTAGACACCTCCTGAAGCGCGCAAAACCAGGCCTGCGCCGCAGGCCGCCTATGCCATGGTTTAATCGACAAGAAGCGACCTCTATGCACCGTAAATAGATGCGCTCAGTTGCACGCACGTACACAGAATAGAGAGACATTGAGATGGTGAGGTATCGTCATAAATAATTAGAAAAAGATGCACACAAAAGGTCTGCATACCGTACTACTTACTCAGACCTGGCGCCTTCAGTACTCTACAACAACATGCACGATGCAGAGGGGGCAAACCCATCTTCTGCATGTCAAGACACGGTGCACGACGAAATAGTGCATCTACTCCCCATGATGCCGCGCTTTACCACCGCAAGAATGCTGAGCTCTGCACGCACATCGGAACAAGGCTCGGCAAAGCGAAATGAAGAACTTGCATGTACACGGCACGACAAAACATGCTCTCAAGATCGGATTTTGCAGACTGCGAGAAGACTGCACCTGAAACCTTGCTTGGCTTTTACAATCTAGAACTGAGTACGACGCACCCTGTCGGACGGGCATTGGCCAGCAGCTTCTTGCAGTTGCCATGAAACCTGGTGGCCAAGCTGTTGGCGAAACAATGGCAATCCGGTTGGTTGGGGTTTCAACCATTTGGCTTTAGGATTTTTCCCTCCTAGCTTGGAGGGGTTTGACGGGGTGGTTCATCGGGCCCTTTCGAGTTTCCGGGCTCTGGCACGACTGGAACCCGGAAGATCAGCAGGCGATGCCTGTTAACAGGAATGTTAAATCTCAGAACAACCCCATGTGAGTGGCTTCCGGGATGTTGGCCGGATGTCTCGGCAGCTAACAGCTACGTAACCAAGAAGTTTGCATTTGAACAGGCTGACAGTTTCGGATGGGGACCCTTGCGATTCAACTTCGGCAGCATGAGACTGATGAACCGAACGCCACTATGCCGCAGGCATACGAGACACACGGCTGAGATCCCATTCGAACTGCCGCAATCCCAAACTAAAGGCAACCTCCCTTCTGGCACCCGGCCCTCTTTTCGCACCGACCTCCCTTTTACATCAGGCTTGCATGTCGCGCCTGGCTATGCTGAAGGTCCTGAGAGCCCCGACCTCCCTAGATCCCAATCTCTCTCGTCAAATCCCAAGCTCAAAACCGAATTGCCCCTTAACAAAACCACTCTCTGAGTGTTTAGTTTAGGCTGTCTGTCTTTCAAGCAAGGAGCACTTGAAAGGCCAGGTCGTCCCCGGCCCATTTCTTCAGCTCCCTTGACCAGTTGCTGAGCAAGCCTGTCCTCGGCCCCAACTTCCAAGGCAGACCATCTGAACACGCCCACACATACATCTGCAGATATGCGCAAAGAAATACATGTTTTGCTGTCGCAACGCCGAAGCTGCCAGGCGAACACAGACTAGCCTCCTTTTGCAAGGCAAACGCAAGTCGAGAATGTACATACAACTCACACAAGTCAAAGTGCATGTGTATGCGTTTGTGTGTATGTGTGTGCGTGGGCGTTAAGCAGCCTGTGTTGTGCATTCGTGCTATCCGTATGTGGACTGTCTAACTTCCGTTGCACTGCACCGTCTTTCAGGGATGTCTGCATTGAAACCTTTGTGCTGTCCGTATGTGGATTGTCTAACTTCCGTTGCACTGCACCGTCTTTCAGGGATGTCTGCATGAATCCTTTGTTCTGCAAAGGCCCCTAATGCAGCCCAGGCCGCGGGACGATGACCAACATCGGCCGTGCAAGCATGTGGCTCCTCTGGCCAGAGCAAGGGTTCGGGGATTCTCCTTTTTCCAAGCCCTAAACCCCGAAGCCCAAAAATGAAACTCTGAAACCCCTAACCCCTTCATCGGCGGGGGACCCGGCGACCTGAATGCACATAATTCGCATGATCCCCCGCAACAGACGTCCTGCACAAGTCAGGTCTACAGGAGGTTTACGGGCGTAGGAACTTCCAATCAGCATCTCGAGTCTTGAATGTAGTCCTGAGGGTTTCAAGCCTGGCTTTACATGTTGTACAACTTGAGCCCTAGACCCTTCGCCGAAGGCGTTCCAGAACCAGGCTTTAAGCTGCCCGACTCTCGAATTCCACTATATAACACTATGATGCGCGCATCTCCGGCTGCTGCAAGCCCCAGCCTTCAACATCAAGACTCCAGAAGCTCTCAAATTCAGAAAGAAGCCTTCGAAGTTCAGATGCAAGTTTCGATTTGAACAGCAGTCACAAGGGGCAGTCGTCAAAGTCATTCCGATGCCAGTAACCGCTAGTACGGAGATGGTGCCAACGTCACGGTATCCAACCCCGATTAAGGATGCCCTGACCAAAGAGTGGGGCTCTATGCCTGCAAGCTCGCTACCGCATGCTTCTGAACCACCTGTGTCACGTGAAGCTGGAAAAGCATGCGTACTGCTGCAGGTTTTATTTTGTATTTGTGTCGATGTAAAGTTGTGATTGTTGTAGCTTGAACTGACTCTGCCCTGTTGCATCCGGCTTTCAGCGACCCTACTGACCCTTCCCTACAATCACACGCCTTCTGAGAAGGAAAGACTCAGGCATATAATGCTTCAAAGGTTCTTCTTCAGGAAAAGCATGAGGGCGATGGCCTGCGCAGTTGCTGTGCTGATGGAAAGGAAGGTTCCCACACGCTTCCATACATAGGTGCTGCATGGCACTGCACGGTGGGTTCTTTAAGCAATGATCTGAGTTGACGAGGTCTCTCCAGGGACGGCATCACACGTCTGCCGTTGCTGCCGGCTGAATTTCAGCGCACGCTTCAAGACCCGGAAGTGCAGGGCTTTAAGACCAATGCGAGTCGCGGAGACGTTGACGGCATCTCGAGCCATCACGGTCCAGAGTTCGGGATCGACCGTGAGTGATTAGGATGCTACATGGGGGCGATGGAGAAGGTGCCCAGCTGCCTTGTCCAGCACATAAGAAGCCGCAGTCGAACTCCAAAATATCCGAAAACCCCTGCAGAAACTCTCCGAAAACCCCCGTGCCTTTCAAGTTTCGACGAGCCTGAAGCGATGAATTCATGCGACCGGCCTGGACAGTCTTGCCCAAGCCCATGTCATCCGCGAGGATACATCCGAGACCGTTTCTGGCGTTGTTGACCTTCAAGCTCTCTGTCTGTTCCGTGTCCAAACTCAAATGAAAAGCTGAAACCTGGCCCTACCCCCGTGCTTGAAACTGAGACCTGGGGCTGCAACAGTTGGCTGTCTCATTCATCCCCAAGATCTACCTCTTACCGCTTCTTGTTCTATAGACATGGTAGGTTCGGAAAGCGCAGGACCCTTTTTCCGGATCTAGGGCTCGCACCAACCAGTGGTAACCCGTCGCCTGGTACGGCCGCAAGATCGCGCCTCAGCACAACATACCGCATGATATACAAGATGGCATATATTATGATATCATCGCATGACCTTGTTTCCACACACCGTGACATCAGACAGAACATGACAAATGTTAGCTCATGCTCTGACTTCAGTGATAGACGGGCGTCACTAATCAGAATAGGGTTTTCTGTCTTGCTATACTAGAATTATGTTAAGGAGTATAATAAGGGGCTATAACTTCGTTGGAACTTCCAGGTTATCTGAGGGGGCGAGGTCTTCAATCCCTGCGGCCGCGTCGCTGAGCTTCTCTGGAACCGGCACGTCCTTGACTCGGATGAGCCCGGTCGCAGGATCGTCGAAGAAGCTTTGGACTTTCCTGCTGCTCCAACGAGGAACCGGGAAACGCAAAGCCTGGAAGAACTCTAAAGAACACCTCACCCATCTGTATACAGTACGAAGACAGCCTGGAAGCAATCAAACCTGCAAGTACTCCAGCGCCAAGCTTCTTTTCGAGCAGCACGTTCGGCATGGCCCCCAACCCTGCCTCCGCAGCACAGCGCTTCGGGCATTAAGTCCTAAGCCTCTAAGTCGTAAGCTGTTAACTCCTACACTGCCTCTAACTGTAACACCAGCCCTCGACACCTTCAGCAGGGCGAAGCTGCCAAGTGCCGCCGGGGCCGTGGACTCCCTGCTGGCCTTCAGAATGGCCTCGGCCTCCTGTGCAAACGGCGCTGTATCCCTCGATGACGATCTACGTACCCATCTGTTAAAAGCTCGCTGTCTATCCACGTGGCCATGTATCCATGGATCTATCTATCTAGCTGTCTATCTGCCTGTCTGTCAATCCAGCCAGCTATCTCTCTGCCTGCCTGCCTGCCTGTCTGTCCGCCTCCCTCTCTGTCTGTCTCTATCTGTCGGGCCGTCCGTCCGTCCTGCTATCGACCTACCTGCAGATAGATAGGCAGATAGATGGATGGATGGATGGATGGATGGATGGATGGCTGGATGGATGGATGGACAATGATAGACACACACAGACAGAGTGCGTATGTATGTGTATATATCTGTATATATATATATACATATGGATAATACATCATACATACATACATACATACATACATACATACATACATACATGCATCCATACATACCTACCTACCTACCTACCTACCTACCTACATACATACATACATACATACATACAGACCGAACGTAACATAACATAACAAAAATAACATAACATAACATAACATAACATAACATACAATACGCACATACAAACGTACATACATGACATAACACAACATAACATAACATAACATAACATAACATAACATAACATAACATAACATAGCATAGCATAGCATAGCATAACATAACATAACATAGCATAACATAACATAACATAACATAACATGGCATAGCATAGCATAGCATAGCATAACATAGCATAACATAGCATAACATAACATAACGTAGCATAACGTAGCATAACATAACATAACATAACATAACATAACATAACATAACATAACATAACGTAGCATAACGTAGCATAACATAACATAACATAACATAACATAACATAACATAACATAACATAACATAACATGACATAACATGACATGACATAACATAGCTAAATGCGTACATACATGCATACATACGTACAAACATACATACGCACACATACATACACACATACAGACACACATACATGCATTACAGTACATTACACTACATTACATTACATACGTACGCATGTACCTACCTACATACATACATACATACAGACAGACAGACAGACAGACACAGACATAGACGCATTTCTTGATGAGTTGAGTGTTCTGGGCTTCGTGCTTGGAGCTCTTACACTCGGACAAGTCTGGCCTTCACCGTGAGCGACACGACTCTTCCCTCCTTGGCTCAGACTTCAGCAGCTTTTCCGTCAAATTGTCACTTCCACACAGGCTTAGGCTCTTCTCTTTCAGCCTCTTCCTCCAGGCTTTATTGACTGTGGACTGCCTTCGGGGCAACGTTTGAGTGAGGACCTGTCCACGCCGAAGCGTCCCACGTGATGATGGAAGGGCTGTTGTTCTGCGTCGGCCTGATGCCGAGCGGTGGAGGGTCGGAGGCTTTGGTTAAGGGATTCGCGATCAAGCAAAGAGGTAGGACCGTCAGGTACGGTACGGTAGGCTCGGAGGAGCCACAACAAAACTGCCAGCTCTGGGCCAAGAGTTAAGTGGGTAAGTCAGCGCGACGAACTCCATGTCGGTCTGGCTTAGCGTTGTCTCTGGGTTTAGGCAACCGGGTGTTTCAAGAAGGTCGGGTGTGGGGTGCAAATGTTCGCACCTCGTGCTTTGGGGCATTATTTCGGGACGATTACCTCGTGATTTGCCGGTGAAGTCTCGGACGTCGCACTCGTTTGACCAGGTATAGAGCGACCCGAAATCCAAGGACGTGACACTGTATGCAGCAACCACGCACATCTCCTATTGACGTCCTCAGCAAACTTTAGCAGCACAAACAAGCTAGTATTCTCTCTATTACTACGTCTAAGTACCGTTTCAACCAAGAAACCATTCGGCATCCAGATTCAGCAAAGCTTGTCAAAACAACGGCTTGTTGTAGCCCGTCCTGCCTCTGTCCCTCGAGAGCGATGCGGCGGCAGTCCTGCAGCATTAAGCATTGGGTCAACACAGCTTCGCTTCAGGTTTGCGTTGTTGGCTTCATGCTGATGGTGTGCAGGCAATCGTCCAATCTGTTTGATTTGGTAAGTGTCGTGGACTGTATGCATGACTATAAGCCCTCCCCCCTCCCCTCAACCTTGAACATCCCTTCCAAGTCTGAAGCCAAAACGAGGTCACCCACTACGGAAGAGAAAAAGAAACTCCGTACATGTATCTTACTCTGGGAAAGCGTATTACTGACATGGCACGATGTTCATGTCAATGTCGCCCAAGGGTAGTTGCAGTAGTGTTGCTTATTGTCGCTGCTGTTGATGATATCCTGGCTGATGCGGCTGTTGCTGCCGCTTGGAACAGGACTTGTGTGATACTGTACAACGCAGCATAACCTTCTAGTCAATGGGCGCTGGCCACAAGAAAATGTGAACCTGAAGGTCAAAAGCAGCCCAACGTCCTTCAAGGCGAGCACTTCCGGCTCGGATCCTGTTCAGAAAACGGGACACAGGGCTTCGAGCTCGGAGTTCGGAGATTCAGTGGAGGTTTGGGTATGCAGCCCAAGCCTCGTCACGACAGCAGTGCTAGCGCTAGTGATTGACTAGTGCCACCAGAACCATGACGACTCCTACTATGGCCACTACTGCTGTCGCTTTCCTCTCCCTACTACTGCCAGTCCTACAAGTAGGGCTCTCACTGTCTGCCGAATACATCGGAACTTCGGCTTGGCATCCCACCTGAAGCTCTGTCGCCAACTGCCACGGCCCACTCGAGCTTGACCTTGACCACTGCTCAACGGGCGAGGCTTGCCCTTAAAAATCTGCAGCATGTTGTCTGATGCTTTCCTTTGGCTGCAACAGGGACACGCACAAGAAATTGTACCACCACTCGACGAGTGCTGCAACTACATCTGCTACACGAAGATGACATGGGCCTGCCAAGAATCCATTCCCTTCCCTTTCAACCCTAAACCCCAAAGCCCATACTCCAGGTCCCGGGGCGTGGTTGGAAATGTCCCGCCAGACGGAGGGCCGCTTGTCGTCGCGAAACTGCACCCAGGTGGTCAGGCACATGGCCTCCCGGAAGGGGCATATCCAAGGCGCATGTCTGCTTTTGGGCATTTAGGGTTTAAGTCGGAGGATGAAGCTTTCAAAACACACCGAACCCACTCCTCATCGTGCATATGGCACGCAGCAGTAGAACTGGCGGCTAGTTTGCCAGACATATGCACATGCGTTTCTATCACGTTTGTCGATGTGGGCGCAGGTCAAGCTTAGATTCAGATTCCCAATTAGGTGTACCTGCTTTTTCCGTCTCTTCGGTTGTTTAATTCGCCGTAAGTCCCCAAGCTTGCTGAACGACCGGATTCTCATCTGAAGTGACTGATGCAAGATCTAGCACTCACTGCTAGGAAGACCACCTCTGGCGTGCAGAAACACCAAACAGACAAAGACGGTTCAAAACAATGACCGAGGCTTGCAGAGCAGAGTCTTTTTTTCATCCGCCTTGGCCTTTTGGGTCGCCGCACTCAATGCACGCTTGGCCATCCTGCTCTGCTGTCGTCCTGAGCTGCAGATCAGCTTGATGACTCGAACAGAGTTTCGGTGGTATTTTGCACCAAAAATCTGTATGGTTGCTGTACCCAAACTAGCAGTTCTACTCCTTCAGACCCCATATTCGAACATCTGCCGGAACTGACACAGAAAGAAGGGCTCAAGCCTGCAAGCTGCATGAGACGACCTGTGTGATCGTTCCTGCTACATAGTGCATGTAAGCAGGTGAGGATCAGGACAATGATGGTGATGATGCTGGTGATGTGGAAGAGTACTGTCCCGGTTAATGTTTACCTTGCTGCCGGCATTCGCCCCACGGCCATATTTGCTTCATGCTTATCACTGGCCCAGTCCTGATCACTGTGATAGAGTGGCTACTGCACGACGATGTGTCAAGGTAAACAGGCCATGATAGCGAGGGCCTTTTCAATCCCCTGGCCGCGGCGTCCCTCGCACCTGCCGCCGATCTCCGCATACTTCTGCTTGCTGGTCTCTTATGCAGCTTGGAAAGAAGTTCACGCTGCCTACACTTATAGGCACTCTCGCCCAAACATGGATCTGCAGTGCCCAGCAACTGGCGACCATCCGCCTTTAACCGTAGCTCCCACACGCAAGCCCGCAACCCCCCACAGCTTCGAACTCTACAGCCCCGACCCGGGACCTGACGGGCCCAAGGACACATCTAAAGCCTGAAGCCCTAGAGCACCAAAGCCCAAAGAGCCCTTGTGAGCTTGAGGCCTGAACTCCCTGAACCCAAAAGCCTGGCCAAGACACGCTCTTTTTGCTTCTCGCGGAGCAGCGCTACCCTCACCATCGCAGCTTGGTGGGCCTCCTCTGAAGTCGAGCAATTTCTGTTGGAAAGTTTCGGCTTTTTGGCGGGTGGTTTAAGCATTCAGTCCGTGAAGGTTCCTGGCTTCGGGGGTTAAGGACATTCCCTGTTTATTATCTTTAAAATGCTCTCCATGAAAGAAAGGTCCCGTTTTGCAGGGGCCGCAAAATACACACGTCCTCTTTTCTCGGCAGCGGACACGGAAGCCGCGACCGCGAATGACAGACAAGACCACTCCCGAACAACCACGCATTCCCCCTTTACCTGCTACCATTATAGAGGTCCTGTAATTAGAAAGTTACGATCAGCACCGCGCTGTGACATTTAGACACGCGCAGATGAGGTTCTCGGTTCGAAGACTGTACTTCGTGATTTATGACGACAGGAGCGGAGCCCGATCCGCTATTCAACTTTGTGAGTCGGAGCACATGCGCATCCTACCAACCTCCACGAAATTTTACTCGCTCCCCGCACACATGGCCAGTCAAGGTTGTCTTTCGACTCTCACGCTTGCACCAGGCAGGCAAGGCTGCTCGGCAACCAATCTTCAGACCACCAAACAGCGGATGTGCTTGGAATGCTGCACAACCAACATTAAAAAACAAATCTTCTCAAGGTTGCACAGGCAAACATTTCCGGTCAACACCGTAGGTGTCATAGGCATCAACGGGGGTTCACAGAGTTTAGAGATAAGGCTCTGAGTCCCCAAGCAATCTGGCAGGGGAACTAGAACAATCGCTTGCTACCTCTTTTGCTGACCACTTCATGGCAGCGACCTAAACGAACAGTATCGGGTCTTGTGTCCCGCACGATAGCCCCATAGGTATGAAGGGTAACATGATTGACTTTCAGGCATATTACATCTTCCGTCCGCTTGAACTGAACCATCGCCTTCGCTTTCTGAATCTGCTGCGACAAGCTGCGGAGCTCGGCTTCGCCTGAGCAAACCAGCCAAAGCAAGGAGGATAAGGAGGAGCCAAAAGCAGATGCAGCACAGTGGTAGGCGTACATCAGCTCTTACCAAAAGGAAGGGCCCACCAACCAGCCGAGACACGAAGCCGGATCTGCGCTTCGAGCACCTTGACGTCCGCAGCACTCTGCAAGCCTCGTTTGACCAGGGGTCCCAATATGCCCTGCAAACAGCCAGGAGGAGCAGGACGAGCAGAAGGAGGAGACGAGGTGAGGAGGTAGTCATAGTAATAGCAGTGGTAGTTGTAGCTGTAGCAGTAGTAGTAGTAGTAGTAGTAGTAGTAGTAGTAGTAGTAGCAGTAGCAGTAACAGCGTAGCAGCAGCAGTCGGTAGTCGTAGTCGTAGGAGTAGTAGTAGTAGTAGTAGTAGTAGTAGTAGTAGTAGCAGCAGCAGCCGCCACCGTGGTGGTGGCAACAATAGACACCGCAGGAGGAAGGGAGTGGATTATTTGAAGGCCCTTGTCATCTTCGTTCAGCAGCCGTAGTTACAGCACCAGTCGGGGTAGTAATAGTCGTTGTTGCTGTTGTAGCAGCGGTAGTAGTCGTCGTCGCAGAAAAAGGAGGAGTAGCAGTAGCTTGGAAGCAATCTGGATGATTCTGCCGGGTGTCCGTAGAAGCAAATAGCATGAAGAGGTCAGTGCGAAGAGCAACACTTCCACACCCCCAACCTCAACTGCAAAAGCCTTTGTCGCTTTCTACATTGAACCTTATGCAACCCCGAACTTGGGTGTCAAACTGTTCTAGTCTCCATATGGTGGATCAAGCCGAAGCTCCGCCAAAGAGGCCCTGCGCTGCCGCCGACATGGAGCTGAAGATTCGCGAGACATTGATGCCTTAGCTGAGGCTGGAAGGCCGGAAAGTCCCAGATCCGGCTCAGTGTGTGGAGTTTGGATATCTACCATCCGCCGATGGCAAACTTGTTTCTAGGTTGGCTCTGGCGACAACTCTTGTCGTAGGTCATGGCCGAATCGAGAAACACTAGCTAATTGCGGGTCCAATAGTTAGAACAACATGTGGATTCTGTCGTGAGACTTCGACTTGTCCAAAGGAGAAAGGTTCAGGTTAACAGCATCGCATTACCAGCATGTACTGTCAGTGCTGGATTTGCAACAGCAAGAACATGCTGCAAGACCTTGCGACATCCCTGCGGATCCCTTAATACAGCGCTGGTAAGATATCCGAGAAACATCCATATCGATCGAGGAAACCCCGCACTCCTTTTGAGACCCTTGAAGCACCTGGGCCTGGCGGGAGCAGCTCCACGCTGGATCTCTGCACCCAGAGGCGAGAGCCAAAGGCCCTTTGCCGGTCGCTGGGATGAGTTAAGGGTGTTTTTGTTGGTCTTCATTTTGAAATTCCATCCAGCTGGGTAGGCCTACCTTAATCCTAGACTTGGGTTCGGATTCTAGGGTGTTGGTTTGGGGCTCAAGTGAAGGCTGAGCCGGGTTGCCCTAGCGGGCAAACATAAGTTCACGGCACAAGAGTCTAGACCTCGGGGTGAAGCCCGAGTTCGCAAGTGCATGGACTTCATTGACTGCCTCGGAGGAAAACCGACAACTGGTCCGTCCACACTTGGAGCAAAATCGGGGTCTAAGAGGGCATGAACCTGGGCCCTGAAACTGGGAAGTCCACTCCTCTCCCGGTCTTCTTCGAGGCAACACACATGCCGCATCCACTGTGGCGTGAACATTAGGGGCAGAAGAGTTCTGGGGGCAGCAGAAAATATTAGGAAGATAGATTGGCTGTATAACGTGTGCTAGACACTACTCCGCGTTCTGTTCCATAACCCGCGTGCCGCCATATCTATGTTCCCATAGGTCCACATCTCTCTGAGGCAAAAGCGTCTTGATAAGAAGCTGCTCGCCGATCTGGACGATCTCGCCCTTCCAGGATCCACGCATTCCGGGCAGCCAAGGACCGTCTGTCTACACAATTCATTGGCCTCAACAACTAGAGTAGCTAGCACACGGCTGAGATGTCTGTTGGGCAAAAATTATCACGAATTCTTCCGACCCCTATATTCTCCCAGCACGACACAAGATCAAGAGAGTTCTGTTAGCTCTCTGACACCCATCGGGATCTCCATTGTCGCCCACTCTGTAAAGACCGCGCATCCCCGTAAGGGATGATCGCGGTAGAGCGGAAAAGACTCACGCGGAAGCTTCTCGCAAACCAAACTCCTGGATCATCAAACTTTCTGTGCCATGCTCTTTTGAGAAACGCCCATGTGAGGTAGAATAGAAGTTGATGATGCAGCGAATCGCTCAGTGCTAGAGCGCTCCAAGAGTTGAAAAGAGCCGGCTGCCATGTATATCTCATTGGAGCTAACCCTGAAATCTTAGCATCTAACCTTCGTCACCAGCTCCAACGAGGCACCTGTCGGCGGAGTAGCATTCCCAGACAGCTCCAAAGTATGTAGCCAGTGGTGTAAGTGTAAGAAGAAAACGGCACGTAGATCCATCTGGAAATCATGCCGACAGCACCGGACGAACATGCAACTCTTTGGACAGCTGCCCTCCGCAATGTCAGCTCCTAAATCGATGCCAGCGGAAAGAAACATGCAAAGACTAGCTACATTGAAACCTTGTGGGCATTTCGGAAGGTTCGAGGCCTCTTGAGGGCTCCTCCAACAACAACAACAACACCACCAGCACAGCCCTCTTTGTTGGTACGAGTACCGGTGGTGGCGTTAGCAGTGGTCGTAGCTGTGGCTATAGTAAAGTGGTGGTGATAATATACTGGTAGTGTTAGAAGGAATGACAGTGGCTGTGGAAGTGGTTGTGGTCGTGGTGGCACACCAGTAGCAGAAGAATTGGCAGTAGTAGTAACAGAAACAGGATGACGGGAGTAGTAGTCGTCGACGTCTTCGTCGTCGTCGTTATCGTAGTCGCAGAAGTCGTAGTCGCAATAGCCGTAGTCGTCACAGTCGTAGTCGTAGTCGTCGTCGTCGTAGCAATAGTAGCAGCAG